CCAACTATTCAAGTGTTCCAACAAGTCAGCAAAATTTCGACTCGAACTTTACATAGTTATCTTGCTTAGTCTCAAGAATTTCGGCTCAAATACTAATATCAACTTTCAGACGGAGACTATAATGTCTCATCTCGAATGATTTTCTTCTAGATATTGCATTAGTTTCTAAGGAGATTAAAAATCGGAAATTTCAAAACTAGAGAAAACGCACGAAGAACTCTTTGGGACCCACTGATTATCCAAACCTCCTACAACTGTGCCATGTATTAGCAAAATATCGGTGAAGCACGTATTTAGGATTTTAGTAAGTACGTCTGCGGTCACTATGGTAAATCATAGGACGCGCCTTTCCTACTGACTTTCTATTAGCAATTTACTGATATTTCGCGGTTATTTCGCTAAAACCGGCCACTTTCGGCTTAGCTACTTGTGTTAACCTTTGAGCGGAGCCTACAGAGTTCCATTGTGAATAATTTATCACAACCTGCCGCCTCGATTGTTGAGATGATTAAAAATCTAAGACATGTAGAGCCTGTCAAATACTAGTTTTCAGTAAAATCATGGTCTTTACACCATTTTAAGCATAAATGCTGCCGTTATATTTTTAGTTATTAGTACCTCTGTGTTGGTGCTGGCACGTGGCATAAACCGATTTGGCATATAGGTGTGTTTTTGACATACATTTAAAATATTTTATATACAGCCTATGTAAATCAATCTTATGCAACCAGTTTCACTTTATAACAAGCCATTGCGTGAATTTATCCGAAGCTAAATATTCTTAGATGCAACTAACAAATTCGATGAGTTGATATTACTGTGCAACTAACATAGTACATTTATATACTGTCAGAAAGCAGAAAATCCATTGTTGAAATTTAATTTTACATGTGGTAAAAAGGCGCTCACCGACCGTGTTAAGGAACTCAATCGTTCTGCTGTGCCTTGGGGCTCTCCCTCGAGCCCATCCAGCAGCCGCACAGCGGCGCGCACTCTAGGCAGAATAACATTGTCGACAAACATAAGGGAGATGGGAATGACCTTTTCAGGCTTATTAGCTGTGGTCAGCCAGTCCTGTCCAACTCCGAAGTGTGGAACACCTGGGACTCGATTCCACGATCTTTTAGTTAAAAGTCTAACATCCCTTACCATTGAGCCGATCACAAATAGCTGAAGAACGAGTCCGGGACCCATTGGTTAGGGGCGTCTGACTTCTAATCAAAAGGTCGCGGGATCGAGCCCCAGGCGTCCCACATTTCGGGATTTGGTATGACTGACTGGCGACGGCTAACAAGCCAGAAGTGGTCATCCCAGTCTCTTTTGCCCTTGTGAGTAATGTTACTCTGCCTATAACTTTACGTGCAGGCAATGAAATACTGACAAAGTCAAGGGAGGTTGGGATGGCTATTTCTGACTTTTTAGACGTCATCAACCAGTCATACGAGTCTTAACCGTGGAATGTTTTGGATTCAAACCCGGAATCGTTGGCCATTAAGTCAAACGCCCTACGACTCAGCCACGGTCCCATTGTCCTGTAGGTTTCGATCAGGAATGCTAATTATGAAAGAGGCTCTCACTGATCAGACCACAAGACATCCTCGTTCCACTATGCATTGGGACTTAATTTAGAGCCCTCGCAGGCAGCTATATAGCGGCTAGTAGCATATGCGAATAATAAAGTGCGATTTGGAAAGCAGACATTCCAAGAAATGCGATTCAAAGGCAAACACGTTCTTTAAAAAAAATTATAAAGTTTTATTAGGCACATTTTGGATGCTGGTTCCCAAGTCGCCGTTTAATCTGAGTTAATGTACCAAAGAACATTTAACCTTTTAACCTTGCGGAACAGTCGATATTCGTTTGGTGTTTGAGCTAATAGGCAACCGTCGTGTGCGTCATGGCTCTTGTCTCTTCTACTTTTCCCTGAGACTTTTTATATGACCGATGTACCGATTGGTGATTGACCGATCTCCACTATCTTTGTCAGTAATCCATCGTCTACATATGCTCCTAGTTGCCACAACTTTATCAAGGCTTACCTTCTTCTATGATTCAATCAAGAGATGCCTCTTTTCACAGGCTGGCTCCAGCATACGGCTTGTACTCGTTAATTAATCCTGGGTTCTAGATTCGTTGAAACCTCCGGCGTTTCTTCTTTAAGTTATTTCAGTCATTTTGAAATTTGTCTTACTGAATAGTTGTTCGTTTACTACTTGAGTATTTTATTCCCCTTTTCTTTTTGGGAATGCATAATTTTCTCTGGGTTCACCTAAATACTGCTACCGCCAGTTTTGATTTGGCTATCATTTTACAATCAACCTAATAGTCAGTCGAGTGACAAATGAATCCAAAATGCCCGTCTTATTAGAATAAACGACAGATAAAAAGACGGCCCTAAATTAATCTCATTTCAGTGCTCAAGGCGTGCATGATTATAGAGGCTGATTATCAGCAACAGGTAAAAAAATACGACTGGTTTTTTATAGGACCAGCCTGAAATCATGTCCGCGTAATGCGTGGAAGTGTTAAGTCACCATACTTATGAGGGTACGTTTTTTGGGTCTTATATGGAAGTCGAATGAACTTGAACTTACTGTTTAAGGAATGATGCAGACATCGCCGTATAACTAGTAAGCAGCCAGAAATGACTGCCCCGACTGATGTTCTGACTTATAATGGACAATATTTTCTAAAATGTTCCTAGCCTGCCTTGAGTAGGTGCGTTTGATATACAAATTTAGGGAGTAACTGTGTTGTCACTTTCTTGAACCTCTTTGAAGTTTCATGTTGAGTTAGGGGAAACGGGGTTTGTTTTCCTGTTTTTATTCTTTTCAAGTCTATTCCTGTTGTCAGACTTAAAAGGATGCCCAAGTGGATTTGTTAGTCAACCCATCTTAAGGAATTAATAATTGGATACAATCCTGTACTGCATTCCTGCTATGTAGATATTGTAATTTCACAAACTTCCAAATTTTTTAAGTTTTAGAGAATCCTCAAAAAATGTCAAAAATGGAAGAACTAGTTCATGAGATATGTACGTGCGTTTAGTAAATATTACCACTTTCAGCATTTACTGTCGAGAAGTTGACTTCCAGAATAACGGAGGAAAAGGAAAAAATCAAAAGTTTGTCTTGTTTTTGTGAGTATCTCAGAGTTTAACGAAAAGCAAAAGCGCGCCCTTGAAGAAAACGACCGAATAAAATTAAGCAACGCGCAGCTAAAAATGGACATTGAACAGCTACAGCAAACATTTTTTCGGGAAACGCAGCAAAGCCGGAGGTAAGCTCTGCTTTAGAAAGTTAATTCTTTTAGTCTCTCAACAGCCAATGATCTTGTTGAGAAACGTCTACAAATGTTGACAAAAGTTGTTAATGACATCCGAGCGGCTGGAGAGAAGATGAGGTGAGCACGTCTGTCTGTCTTTAAGTTAAAAAAATGTGGAAATAGTAGATGTAGTTGTTTGACGAGTTTTACGTATGTTGTCAAACCTACACTTTCTATGTTGTAAGGATAACCCGCTGTGCTTATATTAAAATTTCGACACTTGTTTCTTAAACGGGTTTTAACAGTTAGTTCTGTTCCATGCTTCACAATCTTTTGCATTTTGGGCGTTTTTATAACAAACGATACGGAATCGGAAACTTGCACAGTCGCAAAATATTTCCCATGGATACGCTCAAAAATGATCCATGTTGAATTTCTGGTGCGTTTTTTAACCTTCTGCCTAAGATGAACTTTTGGTATGCCATCAGGGTTTGCCCCTAAAACTTCTAGCACCATCTGCAAATCGATTGCGTTCGTTTACGAAAGCTTGCTTCTCACTCTCAAACCAAGTTAGTCCACTTAACTAATGAAGTTTCAGGGGGTGCTGGAAATCAGTCAGTTTTTACAGTTGGCAGTTTGCGAAAAGACCAGAAAGACAATGACTGGTACACTGCGAACACTAGACAGCTTGCACCACGGATTAATTTGCTTAATCAATGTGACGATTTCCTAAAGAATATATTCCTATGTTTTGCTTGTGTTTGGCCAGGTTCCAACGCCTTATCCATCAGTGTTGAGTAAGTTAGTAATGTTTACGATTTAGAGATGAATGCGATCAGTGGGGCAAGGGCTTTGTTAACCTGATATTCTGGATTCATGCTCGAACGCATCACCAAAGACAGCATCAGATACGGGTTTACGATTGCTTGCTTCATATGTAGAGTGTCAGTCAAGGCTTTGCACATTTTTGCTAATACTCGCATGCTTCTTTTCATCTGATTGCCTTTTGGATGAATTTCTTAAGGCATGAAATGGTGAAAGAATATTGTTTTGCTAACGCCAAGCAACTTTAAAATATGCATAGGTTGGGGAATGCACTAGCGTAAAAAGCGTAGTTCTCGAATGAAAACGAAATTTCGAGTTCCAGGTGTATGCATATTTGAAGAAGAAGAAGAAGAAGAAGAAGAGTCGAGCACCGGGACACTTCGTTTATTAACCTGAGCTTTCAGACTCGTACAGGAGTCCATCGTCAGAGGTAGTGGCAGAAACAGGGCAAGCGTCAGTTATAAGGCACGTTGACCCAATCATCGACCCACATCGCACGACTGGAGGTGACTACGAAGGGCTCTGTACGCCGGCGCCAGCTCGATAAATCGATTGACCGAGTTCTCATCCGAGGCCCAGGCTTCAATCAATTCTCGGCCTGTTTTGTTTCTGGCGTGGGCGACTATTTTGGTGGCTGTGAAGTCAAACTCGTGACCCATTTCGTAGGTGTGGGCGGCCACTTGTGATAATGCGTCGCCTCGCCGCACAGCCAGCTTATGTTCATGTATGCGCGATCCGAGCATGCGTCCAGTCTGTCCTGTGTAGTTACAAGGACAATTTTGACATGGAATGCGATACAATACTCCAGATTGCTCTTCAGGTTTTAACCGGTCTTTGATTTTCATGACCCTGTTGCGCATGGTGGCTTTGAGGCGGTGTGCAATTCCAACACCTAGCTCCGCAGCAATGCGCTAGGTCGCTTCTGAAACACCCTTGATGTATGGCAGAGAATGCCATATCGTCGGTGGCGTTGATGTTCGAGTTCTCTGGTGGCGACCGCGTAGGCAGCAACTTATGAGTGCCCTAGGATAGCCATTTTGCACAAACTGGTCGCGGAGATAACGGGCCTCACGTGTTCTGTCCTCCGGTTTGCTGCAATGAGTTTGGATCCGTTTGAAGAGCGTCTTCATACAGCTTCGTTTGTGAGCCACCGGATGGTTGCTGTGAAAACTGAGAAGCTCTATGGTGTTCGTTGCCTTCCTGTAAACCGTCGTTTCAAGTTCACCGTTAAGGTTTCGTCTGACGAGCACATCCAGGAAGGGCAAATGCTGTTCCTGTTCTTCTCCCCTCGTGAATGTTATATCCGGGAAGACTGCGTTGAGCAGGCTGTGGAAATGTTGCAGTATGTCCTTCTTTACGATGACGAACGTGTCGTCAACGTAACGTCGCCAAAACACCGGTTCATGTTGGAGGAAGGCAATCTTTTCTAATTCCTGTAAGACCAGTTCTGCCACCAAACCGGACACCGGTGAGCCCATTGGGGTTCCCTTGATTTGTACATAGGTCTCTCTCGCAAAAGTGAAGAAAGTTTGTTGGCAGAATTCAAACAGCCTCATGAGGTGTTCAATTTTGAGGGCATTCTGAGTCTCATCGTACGCCTCTTCAAGTCTCTTGCGCAAGACTTCGCGGGCCACGTTTGGTGGGATGGATGTGAATAACGACGTCACATCGAAGGAGACCATGATTTCGTCCGATTGAATTCTCCGACCTCGGAGGTCTATGAGGAATTGAGAGGCTGATCGAACTGATGTAGTCGAATTGCCTTGGAGGAACTTCAGTTTTGAGTACATCCACTTTGCCAAATTGTAGGTGGGGCTGCCTTTTAGGGCAACGATTGGCCGAAGTGGGACATTTGCTTTATGGATTTTTGGCAGACCATAGAATCGGGCTAGAGCGGTGTCAGTTGCCCTCATTTGGTGCCATTCAGTCTCCGTGATCACATTTTTATGTCGGTATTCTCTAAGCAGTTTACTCAGCCGAGCTGCCACTGCTTTGGCTTGTGACTTCTGTGCTGGTCTGTAAAATTCCCTGTCATCAAGAAGGGCTTTAGCTTTTTCATTATAGTCTTCTCTATTCATCACGACGGTTGATCGTCCCTTGTCAGCAGGTAGAATGATGATGCTGCCGTCCCTCCTCAGTTCCCTCATAGCCTTTGACTCACTCCGCGAAATACATTTGGTTGAAGCGTGGGCCTCGGATGAGAACTCGGTCAATCGATTTATCGATCTGGCGCCGGCGTACAGAGCCCTTCGTAGTCACCTCCAGTCGTGCGACGTCGGTCGATGATTGGGCCTACGTGCCTTATAACTGCCGCTTGTCCTGTTTCTGCCACTACCTCTGACGATGGACTCCTGTACGAGTCTGAAAGCTCAGGTTAATAAACGAAGTGTTCCGGTGCTCGACTCTTTTTCTTCTTCAAATAAGCGTAGTTCATTCAACTACCCAACTTGCAACGAACACGTTTTCAGGAATGAAGGGTTGTGACATCAGTCGTTATACTAAAACTGAGTAAAAACTTGAGGACCACTCAAGCTCAGGGACTGCAGAAGGGCAGCTGAATGGCTGAGAAGGAAGGACTGGCTTCATGACGAACAAATGCCTTTATTGGATCGTCCTCCAGAGTTAACAATTTTACAATGTGGAACTGTGGACAGCTTTTTGAGGGAGTCAAAAAAATTAGGCAAACGCAAATCATTTAAGCAAAACATAAAACTAGCGTACGTAGCAGAAGGCACATGGTGGACGCTGGGAGACCCACTTATGAGCCAAACCCCTCAGAACTGCATCCTGTAGAGATAGAGAACGGCAAAACACGTGTCTGGGCTTTTAGCCAGTACCTGTGCTCTGAGTACGTCGAATCATGTAGCATTCCTCTTCTACTGACTGCCTGTTGGTAGCCTGTAAATATTAAGCGGTTAATCCACCGAAACTAATGGATTTTGGCCCAGATATGCATGTTAACTCTCGAGCAAAGCCTGAAGAGGTTTGTGTGATGTAGTTGTTCCAAGTTAGCGCAGAGCACTCATTGCTGATAAGAAAAGTTGACTAATAAGTAATAGTGTTTTTTAGAAAACAGCTACTTTGCCCCATTTCAATTTAAGCTGTAGGTTGGAAGCAGTTTCTAAAAAATACTAAGTTCCGGGCACCGGAACTTCACGTGGTAAATGGCGGTTAATGGTATTCCGCTAGAGCTCACACATTTACTGCCTGGCGCATCGCATGATGACAATATGAGTGAGGCGACTGAGCTCCCGCTTTATGTCACCAGATGGGCTGATAATTTTCATCTGCTTTGAAGAGTTTTGTGTGACATAATGCTTTTGCCCGCCAGAGTTGACGTACTACGTGTTGAAAAGTTCCAACCAACCTCCCTTTTTGCACGTCTTTCAATTTCAGAACTGAACGGTTTCAACTTCTGAACGAGTTCAGGGAAAGAATAAACGAATATGAGCAAATCCTGCAGAAAAATGATATTTTGCTTCAGTTTGTCGAGAAATGGCGCGAGAATGCAGAAAACAATCGAGACCTAATCGGTTTGAGTTCAGCTAACCTTTATCCCAGCTTTAGCTTTTCCTGGAATCATACAAAATCTGTAACTTCTTCATTTGCATTGTTACAATGCTTAGAGCGCAATCATTAAGCCAATTCTACCAGACTGATCTAACGAGAACCTTGGAAAATATAGCTGAAAATGTTGAGGTTAGTTAAATTATTATACTGAGGCGTTTTTTAAAAAAACTTGCTGACGTTTAAATCGATTTCCTGCCTACCAATAATACTGCTCAGACATGGAAAGAAAATACCCTGCTGCATAGTCTAATGGTTTTTTCGATTCTTGCAGTTAACGGTTGGAAGCGATCGTTTTAATTGTATGATTGATTCGAACAGATGCCGGTTACAAGTCGTAACTTCCAAAGTTCATTAGTTATGACTTTTTCGTACTTGCTTATACACACAATTTAATGCGGAACACAAAATACTCATAACTTTCCAAATAACATGAGAATGTTTTGCTTTCGGTGGTTCGTCTAGGAATGCGTCGTTTTCCTTAAAGTTAATTCCGAACTACTGACAAGCACCATTTTGTATAAAAGTATCTACCTTTAAATTCTTTCGAAAGCGTTTTTTGTAGTTGTTTGGGGCTTTAGACCAAGGTAGACATACGAGTAGTTTGGAACTAATAAAATCACAAAGTTCGTACGTTGTAGGCAACATTTCGATCAGAACTATAGGGGACAGCATTTGAGTCTAGGTGGTTGATTTAATCAGCGCAAAATACGGCCTTCAGACAACTGATAAAATGAATTTCTCTAAAAGCCGCAAACCATTAGTGCACATCAGAAGCGTCAGTCCGAAGTGACATGTTCTTCCCGGGGTGGCTCGATTAGCACTTTTTCTCTTATTTTCCAGAAGTGCGCTCGTTTACGCATATAAAAAGTTGAGAAAGCCGCCGTTTTTCTAATCTCTTCGATCGATATTTGAGTAGCATGCTCATGAGTCATATTCTTGTGGCTTTAGTTGTGTTCAAAAATCCATTTTTTTAGTCATATTTTGGGGCTGTTTATAAATAAGTAACTTTCAAATGTCCTGTTAAACTTTTGGCTTTTTTAAACAAACGTTTCGCATATATGTTAGATCTATAACCCAGCTAAAAGCTGAGAACTGCTCACCTCTGCCTAGTCAGAGTCGTCAGGGCGCCGTCTAAAAGTTTTGTTATTGGGCGATTCCTAAAAAAGTTTAACTCATAACAGTTCTCCAATATTCTATATTCAACAGCTCCCCGATTCTCCATGAAGTCCCTTTTATCGTTAAAGCAGAAGGTAGTTTTGAAGGTCCAACAATCTGAACAAACAATATATGAGCTCTCCTAATTAATATTGAGAAAAGTTTTTTGCTTGGTGGCGGGACACTGCTAATATGTTTAAAATATAATCGCTGATAGATCCTCGGTTTCTTCCGTTATTTAGAAAATTTAATCCCTTTACCTCTGGCGGACCCCGCTTTAACAAACCACGAGGTGCTATCCTCGCATGTGCACTCCCTGCACATGCCGTTCATGCGTTACCTTAACCCTCAAATATATGCTGACAGTTATATCCAGTTAGTGCTTTTGGTGACATAGGTGAAATTCAAATACTCATATTTTAACATATTTTCTGTTTTACGATTAAATGTCTGACAGACTTAACTACGTATTTTCAAAAGTTTTGAAGCTTGCCGACAAAATTACTAGCCATTTCTTTCCTTTGCCTACTCTTGCCGTGATAGGACTTGGTTGACACGGGTGACTCCGATATGAGGGAAAGGGAGACAGCCATCAGTAATCCTGTTCATTCACCCGGGTCTGTACAGTTACCAAAAGGTGTGTTTGACTTACCTGCACACTTCTGCCCGCCAGGAAAGTTTTTTTCTCCTTCCTCCCCCCTTTTTCTGCAGTATGTAGGATTTTACTGTTTTACACTTTCCTTTAGAATCATTTGTCGGAAATCAGTGGAAAAGTAATTGGTCTAGGGTGTCTGGTAGTGGCTATTTACTAATCTCCTCTGTCCCTTTAGCTAATGAAGAATTCAACTCCAAGAATTGCAACACATCTCTTCTTTATTTTGGATCCCATGCTGAATGTTTTTGCGCTCCCAATCTAGACTGACTGTTTTCAGTTTATTTAAATATTGTAATAAGTGTTACTGACAAATTGTAAGAAGACTGTAATGATTAAATCTGAGTGAGAAGACCGAACTGACTATTCCACTGTTCCAAATCTCGGTCGACAACACTTCTCGACGATTAAGTACACGTTGCCATGCGTCAGTCTGGACGGTCGCTTAAAGAAAAACTTAAATACCCATTTTCATCCTGCGGTCGGAATAGTTTGGTGAGTGTCACTCGTCTGCGAATCTGCGTTCTTTTACTCGCTAACTTTGGCGACTGTATGGCCTAGCGATCACATGCGGGTTTGCCACTGGGACAGTTTTTGCATTCCTAAGCCTCCAAGGTGCTGCTCAGGTCTTCCTAATTCAGACAGATTTTGAGTTCTTTACGGATTACTCATTTACCCTCAGTTCGACAGTTGGAAAATGAAATAAGACGCGTCCCTCCACCTCCTCGAAACGCGCGAAGATGGTATCAAAGAATGGAGTTTGCTGTCCATATTAAAGTAACTCTCAAGATAAATAAAGTTCATTTCGTCTGCAAATTAACGTGTATATTTCGTTTTAGCAAATGCTGGCAAGTCGGCTGTCATTAACGAGGTTTCCCGCAGTGCAAACTCGGAACGCTTGGCCTCGGCCTATTGAAATAGTCGTCCAATTTCCAAGCTTCATGTGTCCGTTAGTTTTTCATATATTTTGAATTTCCGTTCTGGTGCGAGTTTCAAATTACACTTTTTTCAAATCCTTTGTCTATTGTTTTGCTTGTACGTAAATATATTTATAGATAGACCGCCCTCTTGATCATCCGGGATAAGGCATGGCTTTTGACGTCCGAAAATTCTAATAATTCGTTCATAGCATTTCCCGCTGAATAATTGGTTTTGGTGATAACAGTTGAAATGCAAAACGATGTTAAACCAGATCGAGTAGCGCACAGAATCCTATAATACAACGTCAATATCTGGGTTGATCGTGAAATAATCGACCTTTTAAACTTTAAAACACGAGTGTTCAGGGATGTCAAATAAGTGATGTCAGTAGAGAAGAGAAGCCGTAAGTTTCCTGCGGTCTAATCAGTATCACAAGGCCGTTGAGAATTGCCTACATCTTTCATCTCAGTCATTTCTAACCTCCAAAAATGTGTTTTAGTGCTCTTAGGAGGACTTTGAGTCGATTACAGACGTGACACTTCTCAAAACTTTACTTGACAGCATTACTGGCGATCCAGAGTGACAAGATTAACACCCTTCATAAGCAATTTTAGGGAACATTATTTGTGGGAGGTGTAGGGAGTGTTTTTGGTTAATGCTTGCATATTGTCACAATCTGCCTTCTGACCTCATTTTGACCGTCTTTACGCAGATACCTGCAGTAGCGGAGTCACCTTTGAAACAGCAAAGCATGGTATTTTATAGAAGACCCATTTAACTTTACACTCTATCGTTGATATGCTTTAATTTGTTAAAGAAGTTACTTACCATTTACTAGGGACGCCCGTT